TTAATCGCTTTTAGTATTTTGTTTTCTGGAAATCTTTCCTGTCATGTGACCTGTGAGGAGAAACACCAGGCACAACCACAGCATGACATTCCAGGCATCTAAATATGTCATCCTGTCACATGTGAGCCAGCTTTAATTCCACTGATTCTGCAGCATTAGAGGTCTTCATGAGTCCACTTGGTCATCAGTAATCGAGACCTGACCCATGACCTGAGTCAGGCCAGTCTAATGTCACAGTCTGTAGACAGTAATGGGGTTTCCTCCTCTGTTTTCCATGGCTCTGTCTTCCTCTGTGGTTGAGTCTCTTAGGTTTAGCGTTGCACAGATAAACTGGTTGGGTTGACGGCTCTGGTAGATATCCGGGCCAAGAGATGTGAGACTGGTATTGGAGTTGAGAGACGACATGTACGTCCAGATTGTTTCACAAGTAGCCAGTTTACAAGATCATTTTATACCAATACAAATTTAAATCATCATCAGGAGGCGACTCCTCTGGTTGTATAGAAGTCTATGAGAAAATGACTCTACTTCTCTCTTGATTTATTACCTCAGTAAACATGAGTTTACGGTCTCAATCTCTAGTTTCAAGTCTTGTTCAATACAGCATGATGTTCATTTAGTGAATTATGGTCCATTTAGAGTCAAACAGACCATAAAGCAGAGTATGCTTTGGGCAGGGCTACCTTGTAATTGACAGGTCGCTACCAGAGCCGTGTATGCGTCTCCACGCCACTCCTTCACAGTCCAAATATGGTCACTTACTGGTTTAAAAAAAAAAATGAAGATGGCCCCTGCCAAAATAAACTTATGGCTTCAAAACATCTTTGACAGTCTATGTATTCAACCAAAGCCAAAGATGAATACTACTCTGACTACAAACAGAAACCAGAAGACTTCAGATACCAAAAACTTGTCCCACATGCTCATGAATGCACATGAATGTAGGATCTGTTTATAGAGATTACAGGTCTGTGTGTCAATATGTATTATCAGGGTGGATCCAAATATCCTCTCTATTAGCTCAGACATCTTGATCATCACAGGACATTTTTTATTTTCACCTTTATTGGACAGCTGCTAGTAGAAAACGAGGAGTAAAGCGAGCTGAAGGGAGCTAGTCGTCTCTTTCATTAGCTTATTTTACTCAATGTCTCTCATTCTCATCTCTGACGAAGTGAGGACCGGACAAAAATGTCCTCGCTTTTAAAAATGTTCTCAATTTTAGGTTCTAAAACCTATATTGGTCCTCACAAAGATGCGCGCGCACACACACGCACACACATTGAGAAGCGTGGACTGTTGGTGAAGGGGCAGCCGTCCAACAACAAGTACAGACAGAGTTACAGAATGAATGACGGTTTGAAAGATCACTGACACACCCACACACACACTAACGCCCTTTAGCAGTTACTGAGACTCCATGTTGTTTGTTGGACAAAGTTTAATATTTCAAATGCCAATAATTAACTTCTGTTTTTTTTTTGTTATAATCCTGAATTGTGTCAATGTGTGTGAATAAATCTACTTTTTTTCCAGGGGTGGATTGAGCTCAGCTGTGCAGCTGTTTAGTTGATGATCAGATAAACAGATCAAATAAATGCATCTGAATAGAACAGAAATACATTGATCTACAAATCAACTACATGGCCAAAGAATGTGTGGACAGCAGGATATCCCACTGATATGTGAGAGCTGTATGTGTGAATAGACGTTATATAGACGCCTTCATGATAGTAACTAAAACAAGAAAGATTCAAATGTTGGGTGTCGCTGTCTAAACCCCTTAATGCCTTTTTCCAAGTATAGAGGAATGTGTCATGTAATTCTCTAACAGGACTCCATTCTGTGTAACTCTGTCTGTTTGTCCGTCCCTCTGTTCCACCGTCTGTCGCAAAGGGGGCGTGGCTTATCTATTCCCGAGCATGAGTCAGCTCAGAGCAACTGTCAATCACAGATGTCAATCATGACGCCACACCCCCCCCCCCCCTTTCTTTTACAGCATTAATTAACTAAATAAAACTAAACTCATTAGAGAAATTAACACTTGAACATACATCAGTCTGATGAGAACTACCTAAATTGACAAAAAATGTAATTTCATATGTACTTTGATTTTTTATGTATATTTAGAGGGGGCAGGGTCTATGACCTGTACTGCAGCCAGCCACCAGGGGGCGATGGAGAGGTTTTGGCTTCACTTTCGCGGAGGCTGTCATGTCTTCCATCTTTATATACAATCTACATACAAACATGTTTCTGTAATCAGAAGATTAGCATTAGCGTAGCTAGCTGAGGTGTTCGCGGAGAGACTGATCTATTTGTAATCTGTAATCTGACACACACACCACCTTACTTACTGCCATGGTCTGTGTGTGTGTGTGTGTGTGTGTGTGTGTGTGTGTGTGTGTGTGTGT